GTCTGTTGTGGAGCACTTTTGTTTTATTAGATTCTGTTTTTCTGTAGGCCGCATCTAGAAACTCTGAGAAGGAACTGTTTCCAATTGATGCTTTTGAACTAGAGCAGCTGTCAGCTCTGTCCCGTCTGGCAGAAACAGGAGAATTCCCTTCCTTTCCATCAAGAGCTGCTTCTCTGACATATTTCCGTTGCTAAGCAGCCTTAAACACCAGTAAACAGTTGAGAAGGTAAACCGCAGTCATTTCTCAGTATAAACAGAAAGAGAAAAACAACGCCAGCTGAGCTCTCGCATAGAAATATTGTTTTTGGAGTCGAGAAAAAAAAATGCTTGCAGACCCAAGGTGGGTGACGGCACCATGAAGAAAAAAAAAACATTAACCAATTATGAAAAGGGCCTTTTCTTTTTTTTTTTTTCTGCTGAACGCCAAGCAGAGCACAGGGAGTCTCTCTGTGGCTTCGGTTAACATGGTTTCTCCATGAGCCCCTGCTGGAAATTCCGGTAGCTGGGAGCAAATGGGAATTGGAACGAATACCGAAGCCACCATGTGGAAAATTTCCCCCGTTACAGGACTCTGTGCGCTGCGGGTTCCAGTTTGACATCGTAATTAAGAGTCGTATCTGGCATAGAACGTTTCATGGGTTTTATAGGATGGAAAACCCTTGGTTGCATGGAGCAGGAGCATTGACAAGATTTATTGAGGGCTGTGGAATTGGAAACTAGTAGCCAGTTAAAACGATAAGTCACAAAGTCATGAGCAGCCGTAGAGATGCGTGTTGAATGTGCTCTGTGTACTGGGACTTAGGGCTTCCCTTTGGTCTGTCCCTCTTGAATGATTTTCCCAAAGGTTCGAGTGCTTTTTCTCAGCCTTGGGTGCAGCCTTTATCAAGTCCATTGAGAGGAAAAATGTTCCTTGTGTTCTTTCACACAAGGTCCTGGGAGATAATTAACAAGCTGTGTAAGGTTATGTCTACCCTCTTGACAATGTGAACTTCAAGACCTGTTGGTTTTAAGAATTTCAAAAGGAAACTACCTTTGCATGGGAGGCTGAACTACAGTAGTTCAACTTTGCTAAAGAGCAAATTTATTCACTAATCCACTGACAAAACAAAAGTATATTTAAAAAATAAATGCATGTGCCTTTTCATGCAAATCCTATAGAAAAAGGCAAAAGAGCCCAATATAAATATAACATATGAATACCCAGGATTTGACTTCACTCTTATATTAGAGCTTGTGAAACTTGGAACAACTCGAACTGCAATGATCATGTTCTGTATTATGCTCTGTGAGCCCAGTTGTACATGTGTACGGTAGGTAAGAAGAGATGTGTTTGTAATTTTCAAAGATATGTATGTTACAGAGATGTGTATTTGTGCGGTTAAGACTGGTCACCTGATACAAGCATTGTGACTTAGATATGCATTGAAAAATTAGCTGAGTATATTCTAAAATCTTTCTGGAGATCAAGCTTATGTAGAGCATTTGAGACAGTGTAGGAATTTTGCCTTTCCAAGTTAATTCCTCTATTGACCGATTTCAGATCCTGATTTTAAAAGGCTTCTTTGTAGCGGTGTGTCTAAAATACGCAGATGCTACAGTATATAAGCCGATGGTCTCTTTGTTGTTACTTGTGACCTGGGTTGACTGCACCAACTTCTCTCTTAAAATAAAAAGCCTCGTAGAAAAGTGATGACTAAGGACATTAGCAGACGGTGGAAAGAGTTCTGGAAGAGTTAAGCACAGTAGGCCTTTCATGTGAGAGGGAGTGGAGAGAGAAAAAAAAAGTTTTTTTGCCTTCTTGGAAAACTCCCCCTCCCTCCTCCTTGTTATTTTGGGGATTCTCCTAGGTCACTGCATTTCAAAACACAGTTTGTCATCACTGCCTGCCTGCGGGTAGCGTCTCTCCTTTTGGCACTGTGCCCCTTGGTTGTTAGGCATGCAGCATTCCAGCAGAGACTCCCACTGGTATGACATCAGCTCCCTCAGCTCCAAATCTGGAACAAAGAACTCAACACCAGAAACCGAACTCAAAAATAAAAATAAGAAGTGGAAAACATTGATTGCTCTTGTTTGCTCGCAATGTTGAAAATGTTCGTCCTCTGATGACATTGACCTCTGATAAATCATAGGCTGTGACTTCCAGCCAGATGCACCAGTGCTTGGCACACAACGTCCTGGTCATCCACACATCATGTGCTGTCGCTTTGTTTTCCCCCCATTTTTAAGTTGTAAGTAGGAGAGTCTTAACCTGCAGTGTTTTTGACTCCATGCAGCTTATCCAGAGTTGTGTTTGTAGTATTTTTTTCCCTACTTGTACAGAACTCCCTTTGGTTACTCCAGCTTACTGTTCCCGTGAGCTGATGGCTAGCTTCAGACAGCAGGGACTCCAGTTTTTCAGTAAAAGCAGCATTTGAATCCAACAGACTAATTGCAAAGTGTTATATGCTTTATGAGGCAGGTGTGGACAGAGGGAATAATAAACACAGTATATTTATCAGCAGGATATAAAACATCTAGACTGACACTACAGTTACTGGTGAACGTTACTCTGACTTCATATTGTCCATCTCCTTCTTCACATTAGGAGAGCCAGGTAACCTGAAGTGTTTTCTTAGTCTTTTTTAAGTGTCTAAAAGCAACATGCAGAGCAGAGGGACAGAAACCCAGAACATTTTGTTTATCTCCTGGCAGACTCGTCGCAGCAGGAAATACATCCTGCTGAAAAAAGGCTGCTTCTCTTCTCGGACTGGGTCCTCCCAGTGCTAAAAGGAGGATACTGTATGTGAACTGAGCTGCCAGACCTTGACCTTCAGAGGGGTAGCCTTGGCATTGTGAAATCAGCCTGCCTGCTCCGTACGGCATTTTGAACAGTTTTAATATTAAATTAATACATTTGGCATCGTACTGCAATACAGGAGGTCCCCCTAGTTTTTGTGTCCTCCGACGAAAAGGCAGTGTGAAAAAAATGAACAACAGCAGTGTAGATTACGCATAACTTTGACCTCCTTAATATGTAGTTACTGTACATAGTGCAAATAAAATGATTAATAAAAGTGAAAACCCAAAGCTAAAGATATTGCTCAGAGGATCTCGGCCTTCTTCCAGGTGATGCAGATGTGTGTGATACTTACATGGAACACCTGTGTGTTTCACAGTACCATTATAAGGAAAATTTGCTTTCCTTGTATATCCTGAACGTTGCTGTGAAAGTGCTTTGTATATTGTTGTATATTGGCAACACTAGCTTGTGTTGTCAAGATGCACTTCCTTCAGTGCTGTTCTTAGCTTTGATATTATAATCCTCCCGGTACGGTAGCAGATCAGTTCAGCCTTGTGATGGTGCAGAGATTCTTCATTTTGGAATTTTCCAGATAAGGTTAAAGTGAATTACCAAAACCAACAACACCTAGAGCACAGTTGCCACACAGGTCAAAAGCTCACGTCAATCTTTTGTAAGGTCTAGTAGTCCACATGGCCAAAACACAAGAAATGCATTTAAAGCTTGGCTATTGTGACACAGCAGGAAGCATTCATGAAGCAATCACACATGAATAGTGACTCTTGCATCTTCACAGTGTGTTTGTAAAGGACTGAATATCTCAGTTCTCAGAATCTGCTCCTATCCCTCATGATGACCACATATCTTATACAGTAGAATATTCATGTACAGAGAATTTTCTCTGTTGGCTGGGAAGGGAGATCCCACAAATGGGAGGTAAGGATTTTTCCCAGAAACACCATCTTTCTCCTTCCCTCACAGAGAGGAAATCAGTGTTTAATTTCATAGACTAATGCTTCACCAGACAAACATGGCCAACTAAAACTCATTCACAAGGAACAATGAACATAATAGTAGAGGTCAGAATGAACAAGGAATTATGCAGCTATTGCTGAAGTTTCACAATAACAGATTCAAAAGGGTTCCTTAATCTGGGACTTTTGAGGCCCTGTGCTGTTAATTATTACTTGCATTCAAGTAGATGTTTTTAATTTGTAATAGAAATTGCTTTGAGCTACAATGTGTTTCTTGAGATGGAAGGTGTAGATAATGTTTTTAATTTCCATCTTTATCAAGGAGTAATCCCTGCAGCCAGTCTATGGCCACGGTATTTAATTAAAAAAAACTTAAGAGGTATGAAATACATTATTTCTCTGTGTTTTTACTACATTAAATAAAAGGAAGTCTGGAGAAAGTGGAGACAAGTTTTCAAGACCATTCTGCGTTCTTAAACAATGGCACCAAATGGAAAGTACTAATGATAACATCTCAGAAATTGCTTCAGTCCTGCAGTTGGAAATAACACAGCATCTGTGAGACTTTAATGGAAGAAATCTGATGATTGTGTGCTCCTTTGATTTAAGAAGAACTGGGCTCTGTATTTAAAACTAGTTAAAATTGTTTTAGTTTATAATATAAGCACATATTTCTCTTGTTTCTAAATGCTAGTTGTCTGGCTTTTCATTCATTTTGTATTCTTCCTTTTTCAGCTGGTAGTCTTGCTTTATTGCATAAAAATACTTCCTGAAAACAGATTTAATGGGGAAGTTACTCAGAAGCTCATACTGTTGTTTAAGTGTTGTTTCAATGAGTTAATGCATCATTTAAACTCTTCCCCTGAATATCATCTCATTCTTCTTTTGAAAATACTGCTCAAAGATTGCAGGATATGAAGTACAGTGGCAGATGGAAAACTACAAAGGGCTCATTAAGAACATTAAGAGCTAAAAATAAAATATGCATCTTCACATTCGGCTAAATGCTCGTCTCTAATTCACCCGTTCTCCATGTCAAAGAGTACGTGAAGCTCTGCGTATCCAGTCAGGTACTGTCAGCCATGTGGTGAGAACTGAGCAGAGAGTTGAGGATGTTGGGACCCAGGGTGGCTCATTGTTCTTGCCTAGTAAGACACCGAACTGTAAAGTTAAACGATAAGTACTGACGAGAATGAGACATACAATATCTAGCTGCCAACAACTTACATTTCTCTTCCCCCTTATAGTTGGTGACAAGGTCCCTGCTGACATCAGGATCACCTCCATTAAATCCACAACCCTACGAGTGGACCAGTCCATTCTTACAGGTGAGTGGGAGGGGGGGGGTCTCTGTTACATTGTCCTTTCCAGCATTGAAAGGGTATTGGTTTTCCTCAAACAGTTTGTCATTGATGACCACATCAATTTTCAGTACTGTATATACTGTAAGCAGTGCACATAGAACATTTGAGCTTTTCCAAAGAATGTTTCCAGATGAGAGAATCCATTGAATTAAAAAATGCATTGGAAGCAGCAGTAAAAGAAGACCCAAAGGGGGCAACAAAACAGTGAACATGAGGTCATATGAGTTCAGTGCTACCTCATTACCAGCTTTAGGAATTTAGAGTTCTTAAAAGAAAATGAATGTTTTGATTTTTAAATTGAGAAAAGATAAGCCTTACTTAAGTTTATTAGAGCTCTTTGAATAAGCAACATCAATAATATAGGTGCACAGCGGATATATGATACTCCGTATCAATAATCTAGATTCTATTAAAGTTGGTAAGTTAGCCAAATTTCTAATTGATACCACAAAAAGGAGGATTAGAACACACTGCCTAAGCAATAAATATGGTTCAGTAAGATTCAGGTAAAATTTTAAGACTGAAAAACGACTGGCTGACATTTCATGTAGACAGCTGCAGGTTTTGCATCCAAGAACAATAGTACAAATACAAATACTGAAGCAGAGATACAAAATTCATGTTCTCTGCAGTTGATATGCAGTAGATTACGTCTTTACCTGAATTTGTTATTTTTTTCCTATCCGTGTCAGTTTCACAGTACCGCTTCATTATTTCTCTGGAAAGTTCTAGGGTTTTATAACAAAGTTCAATTTAACCGTCTACGTCCTGCACAACATGCATAGTGCTAGCTAGCTGCACCATTGAGCAGCCCCATTTGGAGTTAATTACAAAATTTCAGGAGTAGTTCAAGCTCTAATCTCGTCCGCTATAGCTTCCCTGGATATAAATATGATTACTGCTGACCCATTTCCGAGTTCTCTCCATCTTTACCCTTGCAACAGTTCCCTGGTTCATCCTTCAATTAAAGGGGGTGTACTGACAACCCCATTGTTATGTCTGGGTTCTCCTCAGCTGGTTGAGTTACCCCAGTAACATGCTATTAAAACATCTCAAACTTTCATTAAGGCTTGAACAACCTACTGAAATAAAAATGCCCACAAAAAAAGAAAATTTAAACGGCACAGTTTGTGTTTGGCCATAAAAACAGCTTGTGCTTCCAAAATATCTGGTATTGCCCCGAGAATGTGGACATATTAAGAAACATCCTTAAAAATTCAGCCAAACAAAGGATATAACACATTCTTAGATGAAGGCTAGCTGTTGTCAATTGTGATGTATTGCATGTTGATAATGGGCACCGCACAGAAGGCATTAGTAAGTTGTTGATAGAGGTTGCGTCCAGTCCGGATATTCACAGTGCTTCCCTTCTATTTATGAGCCACTCAGGAAGTGGAACTGGCTGAAGTCGCATCCTCACTTACTTGGATTAATTTCTAGACCAGAAGAGTTTTTATAAAATCTCCTGAATGGCAGACAGTTTCGAAATGACATTCTCCCCCATTGCATATAAAGCAGGTTTAATTGAGGCTCTATGGCTCCTCTGGCCCCTTGTTCTTATCTCGTTTACTGGACTGCAATTCTCTCGTCACTGAAGATCTGCAGATTTGCTCCCAGAATTTTGATGTTGAACCTTCTACTTTATATCGCCAACATTCAGCATGCAGGTTTAAAGTAACTAAACACAAGTCTTCTTTTTTTGTGAAGCATTTGTCATTCTCCATTTGTAAAAGAATTATTGTAGATCGATTCAGCCACAGTTTTCAAAGTACAATAGGTTTTTCAAAGGTGTGGTTTTGTATTCAGACAGACTTTTTCAAATGGACTAGTAATCAGTTGGTGTTCAGTTGAAGTGAACAATGAACAAATGTACTTTATAAGAAAAAAGTTTGACATGGTTAATAAATTAACAAAAGAGAACACCAACCTGTGGAGTTTTTGTTCATTGGACTACAATGAAAACATTGTCATCACTGGTATTTTGAACTTGAGAACATAACTTGTAGTTTGCTGTGTGATACTATCTTGAATTCTCTATCTGAAGAAATAACTCCCAGAAGAGCCAATATTTATAAAAAGAATAATAAAGGGTGGAGTGGAGCCAAATTTTATCACTCCTCTTTAGGGGGAAAAATGCAGTAGAAAGAGTGGTGGAAATCTCGTTTAACAGATATCTGCTCCTTCCTTGTACAGGGGAATCGGTATCAGTCATCAAGCACACCGATCCTGTTCCTGACCCCAGAGCTGTCAATCAGGACAAGAAGAACATGCTTTTTTCGGTGAGTGTTGTGGATTTTATTCCTGATCTCACTGGTGATTGCATCCTGCAACAATGTCAAGAATGGTATGTATTGTATTATAATGAGCTTTCAAGTCTCATTTGACATGTTTAACATCAGACCAGATTGCAGGAAAAGATACGTAGCTTTTATTTTTGCTCTGGTGTGTCCAGTCAGGACTGAAATTGACTGTGGGACAGTAGGAATGTAGCATGAGCAGCCTTTTTTGACAGGTGAGAGGGGAGTATTTGGGGAGATCCTTGTGTAGCTTAGCTTGATGGTGCCCTGTTATTTCAATTCATTCATACCTAACAAACATTTAGTCAGTTCATATTGCAATATTTCAGGGAGAAATTCTCAAAAATGTAATGTACTGTAGTTATTTTCAAATTATGATACCTTGTTATCAACACTGCTGGGTGTCAGGCTAAACACTTTTGAATTTATTCTCTTTACAATCAGATCAATATATAACACGCATGATGCCAAAAAAGCTGATCACAACCAGTGCTGTGGTGTTTACTATATGACTTCTATTTTTTTCCTGTCCAAAGATAGTAAATGAAATACAGACTTCAGGGCTATTATTGTAAATCAGTACAAATGTAATTATACCTTATTGAAAGTCAGTAGCCATCCATGTTAGCTCATCCTGTAATTTGCTGTTTGACCACAGGGGACCAACATCGCTGCTGGCAGGGCCATCGGCGTGGTTGTGTCCACAGGGGTCTCCACTGAGATCGGCAAGATCCGCAACCAGATGGCCACAACGGAGCAGGAGAAGACGCCTCTGCAGCAGAAGCTGGACGAGTTCGGCGAGCAGCTGTCCAAGGTCATCTCCCTGATCTGTGTGGCCGTGTGGGTCATCAACATCGGCCACTTCAACGACCCCGTGCACGGAGGCTCCTGGCTCCGGGGCGCCATCTACTACTTCAAGATCGCCGTGGCGCTGGCCGTGGCCGCCATCCCCGAGGGGCTGCCCGCCGTCATCACCACCTGCCTGGCGCTGGGCACCCGCCGCATGGCCAAGAAGAACGCCATCGTGCGCAGCCTGCCCTCCGTCGAGACCCTGGGCTGCACCTCCGTCATCTGCTCCGACAAGACTGGCACTCTCACCACCAACCAGATGTCCGTGTGCAGGGTAAGTGCCAGCCTCTGGGGGCAGTTCTAGTGTCAGACTGCGTTGGAACAGGTGCCACAATACTTCGCTTTTTATCCCCTGTTTGAAAAGCCCTGTATTTATTGTCATTGAGCCCATGAGGACATTGCCAACAATCTGAATATTAAATTGCATGGGCTTCTGCACACTTTAAAAAAACTCAAGACTAAAACATATAACATGTGACGGCAAACTCTTCAGTCCTTTAACGGTGCAGCTTATACAATATGTAAATGATGGCAGAAACAAATGAGCTCCTCTTTTGTTAAAAGCTTGGGAAACGTATGAGAAAGAAACCGATGGACTGACCTACTGTAACAGCACGTTTGCAGTAAAGGTGGTGCTGTATAATTGAAAGGGACAGCAAAAATGAGCCTGTTAGAAAACTGAAACAGTCATACTGTAGGTGTTGAAGAAGCAGGGATGTATAGGGTAAAGCATTTTGGAACAGCAGTCTAAGCCATGGTGATTAATGGAGATCAGTTTCATTTTAATTATTATTACTGTTCATTTCTTACTGATTCAATAGTAGCTTAAGACATCAGGTCCACTCTGTCTGGAGCTGGCTTAAATTAAGATACAGAATTCCAGCAGGAGCGTCTTTTATATACAAGTTTTTTTCTAAACATTATGATGATGTTTGAGCATTCAGCATAAAAATGCATTAATTAATACCGACTATTTTTTACAAATGAACAGGAGAAATTGATTCTTGTTTGGTCCTGATTTCTTTGTCAGTGCTTATAAGTAAGGGTGTATTAGAATATTCCTTCTACTGCACTGAATGTATCATGATCTGTGCTATTTTGTTGTAATGTATCTCGGGCTGGAGGTGTGGATCAGCTAACCCATCCTCTTGACCACCCTATCATCCCCCAGGACAAGCCCGTTAAATCCAAACTATGTTCTTAAATTCTCACTGTTATTTAATATACAGCTGCACGTACTGCGGAATAGGGTAAATGTCAAAGTTCTGTGTGTTGTTTTCTTTTTCTTTAACAAGAACAACATGCGTTTTTTTCCTTTGCAAAGTCCTTAGATAGGACTTCTGCTTCTATAAGTTTGATGCTAAAAGTGCCTTTCTTAAGCCTGGCTGGGTTTTTGAAATGTCAAAGCACTGCACTTCCCACTGCAGACCCAGTAATCTTTGCCCCAGGGTATTCACAAAGCCGTCGCCAGGGAGAGAAGAATGCTGGTCTGGGTTTTCGTGCATGTGATGCTCGGCTACCACCTTGTCAAGAGCTCTCTCCCCTCTGTTCTCCTCCCACAACATGACATTTGGTGCCCTTTCGCTGGGGGGATGCCAGTCAGTCTGAAGAAAAACCGCTCCTTGTTTACCTTGGCACTCAGCTCCCGAGAACACCAGTTTTCTCAGGTGGTATCTGATGTCTTCCCACTCCGGCACCCCTTTCAGCCCAGCTCAGTCCATCGGTGTTCACTTTCACTCGGAGTGTGGGGCAGAGATGAGAGCTTCTGTGGCAGCTGTGTTACTGGAATCCTTTGTCACTGGAGCTGCTGAATTGACATCTCAGACATAATCCAAGCTAGTGGGACCAAATCATGAAAGTCAATATTCATACTCTGATTCCTTGGAACATTATTTTTTGTTGTATGAAGTTAACATTTAATAATAATCCTTTTCTGGACATTACACTCAAAGCATTTTACAGGTAATGGGGACTCCCCTCCATCACCACCAATGTGTAGCCCCCAGGGTAACACCCTGGAAATGTTAATGACCACGGAGAATCAGGGCTTTGGTTTTACACCTTATCTGAAGGACAGTGCTTTTGTTACTTTTTTAGTATAGAGTCCCCATTACTATATTGGGGCATTATGACCCACACAGACTGTAGGGTGAGTGCCCCCTACCAGTCCTCTTCCAGTAGTAACCTTAGCTTTCCAAGGAGGTCTCCCATCCTGGCACTGACCAGGCTCACATTGTTTAGCTCCAAAGGGTTATCAGTTGCGAGTTCTAGGGAGATGGGGATGATTCTGTGCTTTATACCATATTAAAGAGCTGCTCAGCCCTGGAGTACCCCCAGTCCATTCAGATCTGATACTGTATGTCATCTTAAATCATCAATATGTAGAGACTTGTGATATGTAAATTAATAACATAAATTCATTTGTTCAATTAAGTGAGAAATGGCCATCTGTAGTCCTTGAGAAGTTACAGAGTGCTGGTATTTTCATTTTAAATGACCTCAGAATGACTTAATTTAGCACCTGCTCCTCGTAATCCAGCTGGATTGAAGCTGTTCAGGGCCAGTTTTCCATCTCTGCCATAGTATGACCTAACTTCTCCTTATTAGTTTAGATGTGTTTCCTACAAAATAAAAAGGACAGTCTTTTAGTAAGTGTTAACCTAGCCAGCTCCCAGGAATACTAATTCAAATAATTTGCACTGTAAAAATCCTCTTGCTAATGCTACCAAATCAGTTCGCTCTTGGTACATTTAGATATTTTATTATCCCTTTCATCCATTTAAGGAAAGAGTAGGTGACATGTAAAATGCAAAAGTGTGTTTGGGTGCCAGTAACAGTCCAATTTCAATACAAAGATTCTTTGAAAAACTTCAGTGGCAGTTTTGTGCTACTACTTGCAAATACAGCAGTTTTTACTGCACCTCCGAAGTAGATAATCCTGGCAATTCCTTTGAAATACACGGAGTCATAAGGAACAGGAACACTGTGTTTCTCAAGATGAAATGGAAGGATTCCTGGACTTGATTTATAAAATGGGATTTCCCTCTTACCTTGACTGGAGCCATTCCACTAACATCAGTAAGAAATAAGGGCACAGCAGGAGAGAAGGCCGGATATAAATGGACCAGGTCCTCCGGAGCGTTCAAGGTCACCCTAGAGAACAGAGCGGAGAGGCGGGGCTTTCAGTTTCCGTCTGCCTTTTGGCGAAAGCACAAAGCTGGCGAAAGATGAAGGGTGCCCGAGCTCGCGGGATTTTTCTGTGCCTTGTGAAGCAATGCAAAGTGACATTGCTGGTGTCTGTGCACTTCAATAATGCATGTGGTCTCTCCTGCAAATAAAGCAGCTGACAGCTTCCCCGAAAAAAACAGCAGCAAAGACGCCTGCATTAAAAATACAGTAAATCATTGAGCTCAACTGATGCACTCAGACTGCTGAAAGTGGATTAGAAACACAAGCAGTACTGTGGTCCCCAATCACTTTTGCAGTTTAAGAGCTGCTAAAATATCTTACACCTCTTCACGACACGAGATTCAATAATGTGTAACTAGATGTTTCCAGGGTGCAAAGATGTTAGTAAATACCTCTGTCTGTATTTGAGCAGCATGGTCCCATAGCTTTTAGCGTTAATGTTTTATTAGTAAGTTATAGCATTAATTAATGTGGCACAGCTTTTGAGGTCCTGGGTTCCATTTAATTGTTCTTTTCCAAGTGCTCCAGTTTTCTCTTACATCTGAAACACCTGCAGCTTGGGTTTGATTGGCAACTCTTAAATCGACCATTTCTGGGTAAAATTCCCCATGCTAGTCTATCTAGCCTTCCAATCTATTTTACCTCAAGTGTGAACAGCACAGACTATAAATTCTGTCATGCTTTTATTTTGTGCGCACTGTTATACAGTATGTGAAAAAATGTACTCATGAAAAATACATTTCAAAATGGTTGGGGGGAAAAAAAAAGTTCACTTTGTTTCCAGTTCTAAATCTGTATTTGTTCTGCCACATGCAAAGCACTTTCATATTTCCCCAGCATTCATACTGTACATACAAATACCAGGGAGTTTCCAATTATTTCTGGTTGCATTCAGCCTCTCAGTGGCTGGTAAAAGAGGGGCAGTGGAGAACTGGTCAGGCAGTGGTCTAGGTGTGAGCTCCAGTCTCAGGTGTGGTGATGTTTTTGTGTGTGTAAGCAATGTATTACAGTTTGCTCCAGTAAAATGTCCACATATATCAATGTGTGCTGGTATAAATGTACAGTACAAGCCAAATAAATTCATAATTCTTTAAAGTTTTTCCACAGCACTGCGCATTAAGTCACAAAAATGGGAATAAGGTAACTTTGTGCTTTTCTGCATTTACCTTACTTTGGTTTCTCCACAGTTTAACATGTTGTTTCCATGATGATGTAACTCTGTTTTACTACTTTAACTTGCTTTTAGTATGGCGTGCTACAGTAAAGCAGTAATAACATGGCGTGATCAGAGAGCGCCGGTGACACAAGGAACTGACCGTGTGCTGTGGTCACTGGGGCTGGCAGAGAGTGGGAGAAGAAGAAAGTAAAGGGAACAGTTCTCCATTTTCCAGGCACTGGGCTCACTTCCGATATAGTACATGTTGTCAGCAGGAGTCGGGCACAGCAGTGACCTGCTGCTTTAATTGACCTATGAAAACAGAAATAGGCAGCATAATCACTTAGGAAAAGCCATGGTTTATAAATGTTTAACTGCAGGGAGTTCCCTTGGTAGAACCTGTTTAATCTCACGACATTAATACTGAGATCTTTTACAGATTGCCAGAGCCATGGTCTGGTAAATATTGACACTGTAAATTTACAATACTCATGGTTCACTGAGCCCAGCTCATATCCCCATGATAGGAGAAATTTTCTCTCATTGGGAGTGTATAGCCATGCTGTTTTCCTGCCGACCAGCAGGCCCAATGCAATAATACAAGGAATGACAGTAAACCCTCGCTTTAACAGACTTCACTTCAATGGCTTTGAACATTCGGATATACGGTAGCAGACAAAATCTGTCAAATCTGAGATGCCAGACTTTTCTGGGCTCGGTTTATTCTTAAAAACCACGCAAAAGTTAAGACATAAAAATATGTAAAATATTTAGAGAATTTTAAATTCAGAAACATCAGTGGTGCCCTATAGGGCTAACCACTTAATCCAAGTCAGGGTGACAGGGGAGCCGGAGCTCGTCTCAGTGACCAAGGGATGCAAGTCAAACACACAGCACACACACTTGTGCCACTAGCCAGTTTTCCCAGA